GAATTTTAACAAATATTGTGTAATTACCTAAGTGTAATTACCTAAGTGTAGTTACAGGATGAGAGCTACGCTCGTGGTGTCCCGTCTTCCCAGCACTCTTTGTCATATAACGCTTTGAAACTACTGACAGTCTTGGCCTCCACCACCTTCTCACTTAACTTGTTCCAACCGTCTACCACTCTACTTGCGAAGGTGAATTTTCTTATATTTCTTCGGCATCTGTGTTTAGCTAGTTTAAATCTATGACCTCTTGTTCTTGAAGTTCCAGGTCTCAGGAAGTCTTCCCTGTCGATTTTATCAATTCCTGTTACTATTTTGTACGTAGTGATCATATCATCTCTTTTTCTTCTGTCTTCTAGTTTTGGCATATTTAATGCTTCTAACCTCTCCTCATAGCTCTTGCCCTTCAGTTCTGGGAGCCACTTAGTAGCATGTCTTTGCACCTTTTCCAGTTTGTTGATGTGCTTCTTAAGATATGGGCACCACACAACAGCTGCATATTCTAGCTTTGGCCTAACAAAAGTCATGAACAATTTCTTTAGTATATCGCCATCCATGTATTTAAATGCAATTCTGAAGTTAGAAAGCATTGCATAGGCTCCTTGCACAATATTCTTTATGTGGTCCTCAGGTGATAGTTTTCTATCTAGAACCACTCCTAGATCTCTTTCTTTATCAGAATTCTTTAAAGATTTCTCACATAATATATAGGTTGTGTGGGGTCTATGTTCTCCTATTCCACATTCCATAACATGACATTTATTAACATTAAATTCCATTTGCCAAGTGGTGCTCCATATACTTATTTTGTCCAGGTCTTCTTGAAGGGCATGACAGTCATCTAAATTTCTTATCCTTCCTATTATCTTAGCATCATCAGCAAACATGTTCATATAATTCTGTATACCAACTGGTAGATCATTTATGTACACAATAAACATCACTGGTGCAAGAACTGAACCCTGTGGTACTCCACTTGTGACATTTCTCCATTCCGATACATTGCCTCTGATTACTGCCCTCATTTTTCTATCAGTCAGAAAATTTTTCATCCATGATAGAAGCTTACCTGTCACCCCTCCAATATTTTCCAGTTTCCAGAACAACCTCTTATGTGGAACTCTGTCGAAAGCCTTTTTTAGGTCCAGATAGATGCAGTCAACCCAACCATCTCTTTCCTGTAATATCTCTGTGGCTCGATCATAGAAACTGAGTAAATTCGATACACAGGATCTTCCAGATCGAAAACCATACTGTCTGTCTGATATTATATCATTTCTCTCCAGGTGTTCTACCCATTTAGTTTTGATTAGCTTTTCCAATACTTTCACTATTACACTTGTCAATGATACGGTCTATACAGTGGTACCTCGGAATGCGATTGTCCCTGTATGCGAGGTTTTCGGAAGGCGAGGTGTATTTACTCCAAAAATTTGTCTCGGAAGGCGATGGTTACCTCGAGTTTGGACGCGAGTTTGTTGATACGCGTACAGGCCGACCTAGCGCGTGGTGGTTCAGCGATCGTCGCCCCTCTGCCCCGCCGCCCCTCAGTTTACCATTGTCTCGCGCTCAGTGACTACCCCCACATCAATTCTTCTCGCGGATTTTCAGTGTTTTGTTGGATTTTTGGTGATTTGTCTATACAATTTGTTATTATATATCTCACCATGGGTCCCAAGAAAGCCAGTGGTAAGGATAAAGGCCAGAAAGCTCATGTGAGGATGACAATAGAGGAGAAACAAGAGATCATTCGGAAGCATGAGAACGGTACACGTGTTGTTGAACTTTGTAGGCAGTACAACAAAGCCACATCAACAATATGCACTATACTTAAGAAGAAAAATAAGATTATGGGTGCTAAAGTGGCAAAAGGAGTAAGAACATTAACGGCACAAAGACCACAAATACTTGAAGAAGTGGAAAAGTTGTTATTAATTTGGATACACGACAAGGAGTTGAGGGGTGATAGTGTTTCGGAGGCCATTATTTGTGAGAAAGCCAGGGTGTTGCACGAAGACCTTCTAAAGAATACCCCTGCAACGAGTGATGCAGATAAGAAAGAGTTTAAGGCAAGCAGGGGCTGGTTTGAAAAATTTAGAAAGAGAAGTGGTATCCATAGTGTTACAAGGCATGGGGAGGCAGCCAGCTCAGACAAACCAGCCGCTGGACGATTTATTGACGAATTTAAAGAGTTTGCAGAGGCTGAGGGATACCTACCGCAACAAGTGTTTAATTGTGACGAAACAGGACTGTTTTGGAAAAGAATGCCTAAGAGGACATACATTACCAAGGAGGAAAAATCCTTGCCTGGACACAAGCCTATGAAAGATAGGTTTACGCTTGTGCTGTATGGAAATGCGAGTGGCGATTTGAAAATTAAACCCTTGCTAGTGTATCATTCTGAAAATCCAAGGGTTTTCAAACAGTATAATGTGCAGAAAACCCATTTGTGTGTGATGTGGAAGTCTAATAAAAAAGCATGGGTGACTAGGCTTATTTTTTTGGAGTGGGTGAATGAAGTGCTGTGCCCTGCCATAGAAAAATATCTGCAGGAGAAACAATTGCCACTCAAAGCCGTGCTTCTCCTTGACAATGCTCCTGCTCATCCTCCAGGCTTGGAAGATGATTTGTTGCCTAGATACCATAAATTCCTCACAGTTAAATTCCTTCCTCCTAACACCACTCCTCTAATTCAGCCTATGGACCAGAAAATCATAGCGAATTTTAAGAAACTTTATGAAAGGGCACTTTTCCGGAAATGTTTTGAAGTGACTGAAGCCACAACCTCACCCTCAAAGAGTTCTGGAGAGAGCATTTTAACATTTGTAGTGCTTTAAAACTCGTTGACAAAGCCTGGCAAGAAGTGACTCAAAGAACCCTGATCTCTGGCTGGAGAAAATTGTGGCCTGAATGTGTGAGAGAACTAGACTTTGAGGGGTTTGAGCCTATAAATGATGCGCCTATTGTTGAGGAAATTGTTAGTCTAGGCCAGCAAATGGGCTTGGAATTGGATGGTGGTGATGTGGAGGAGTTGGTGGAAGAACACAACGAAGAACTGACCACCGAAGAACTCCTAGCCCTTCAACAGGAACAGCAAGCCAACGCAGCAGCGAATGATTCTGCAGTGGAGGAGGAGGTGGCAGCAGCACCAGCGAATGTCCCTTCTGCAGTAATTAAGAAGGTGTGTCAGATGTGGGAAGAGATTCAAACAACTGTTGAACAGACTCACCCAGAGAAAGCTGTAGTAGGCCGTTGTCTTAATCTTTTCAATGACAATGTGATGCCTTACTACAGAGACAGCTTGCGAAGAAGGGAAAAGCAAGCTTCCATGGACAGATTTGTGAAGAAATCGAGCAGTGAGCCTCAACCAGGACCTAGTGGCACTCAGGTAAAACGTCCCAGGGAGAGCACACCAGAAAGGTCCTCACTGCCTGATGTGATTATGGAAGGGGACTCCTCTTCCAAACAGTAACTCCTCTCCTCCTCCCCCCTCCTCACCATCTTCCATACGCCTACAGCACTCGACAGCAAGGTAAGTAATAACTGGAACATAGTTTTGTAGGTTTATTTAGATGAATTAGGTAAATTAGGTATAAAAATTTAGTATGATGTGGGGGTTTTGGGGTAGTCAGGAACGGATTAATTCATTTCCCTTTATTTCTTATGGGGAAATTAGCTTCGGAATGCGAGTTTTCGGAATACGAGGCGTCTCCAGGAACGGATTAAACTCGGAAACTGAGGTATGCCTGTAAATGGAATTTTAGGAAATATTTTCAAATTTGGACCACAAAAGTATTTATCTCTAACATTTATTATCTTTCTGACATCAATTTTCATGTCACGTCTTTCATTTTGGTATCAAATTGTTCACAATATAAAGGTGCATATTTTAAAACAAGTCCCATACTAATAGAACAATAAATGGAATTTTAACAAATATTTTAACTTTTGGACACTTTTGGACATTCATTGCCTCAAAATTATTTATATCTTTCCAGTGTTCTGACATAAATTTTTGCATCACGTCTTTCATTTTGGTATCAAATTGTGCGCAATCTAAAGGCGTTCATTTTAAAACCACTCCTAGATTGATCGGATAAAATTTAAATTTTTAACAAATAGTTTAATGAGTGACGCAAGCCGGAGGCAACCGAGATGACTTGAGAAAAATACATAACGACAGATGTCGGCAACAGAGTGCGTTAGTGTTAATGCTGTATACAACAGGGATTCTTAATAGGGGATATCCATACATGTTAAGGGGTATGAGAACTAGATAATATCCATACACCTTGTGAGGTATGGGAGCTAGATAATATCAATACACCTTGCAGGGTATGGGAACTAGATAATATCTGTACACCTTGTGGGGTATGGGAACTAGATAATATCCATACACCTTGCAGGGTATGGGAGCTAGACAATATCCATCCACCTTGTGGGGTATAGAAACTAAATACTGTACCTTGCAGGGTATGGGAATTAAATAATATCCATACACCTTTCGGGGTATAGGAACGAGATAATATCCATACACCTTGCGGGGTATCGGAGCTAGATAATATCCATACACCTTGCAGGGTATGGGAGCTAGACAATATCCATCCACCTTGTGGGGTATAGAAACTAAATACTGTACCTTGCAGGGTATGGGAATTAAATAATATCCATACACCTTTCGGGGTATGGGAACTAGATAATATCCATACACCTTGTGGAATATGGGAACTAGATAATATCCATACACCTTATGGGGTATGGGAGCTGGATAATATCCATACACCTTATGGGATATGGGAACTAGATAATATCCATACACCTTGCGGAGTATGGGAACTAGATAATATCCATACACCTTGTGGAATATGGGAACTAGATAATATCCATACACCTTATGGGGTATGGAGCTAGATAATATCCATATACCTTGCGGGTATGGGAGCTAGATAATATTCATACACCTTGCGGGGTATGGGAACTAGATGATAATCATACACCTTGCAGGGTATGGGAACTAGATAATATCCATACACCTTGCAGGGTATGGGAACTAGATAATATCCATAGGGCAGCCTTACCTTGCAGGGTATGGGAACTAAATAACATCTATACACCTTGTGGGGTATGGGAACTAGATAATATCCATACACCTTGCAGGGTATGGTAACTAGATGATAATAGGGGTGTGTGAGTCAATCTCTGAAGTGTTTTTTTAAATTGTTGTTGGATTTGAATTACCTATCACCATCAGTAACTAGAACAATTCCATGTTTTGAGTGCTGAAAAACAACAGAAATCTCCCTAGTTATAGTTAGCTTGTGTATTAGTAATTTGCCATCTTTCTGTAAACAAATAGGATTTCTTATGATTTTCTTTCAGATGTTCTTGTCCTTGTTATTTATTTGTAAATTAAAGCCAAGCTATTGACATCTTTTCAAGTCATACTGGTACTTAATACAACTGTTAATGATGATAATATTGACAGTGTGGTGAGTGGTGTATGATGAAACATTGAGGGCCTATAATCGTAAGACTGCTACCCTCTGGTCTGTGACATACCGCTGAGATATGAGGTATGTCCCACCTCTAACATACAGAGGTGGGAAGTTGGAAGTTAGTTAGGTTAAAATCAGATTTGTTAAATATATTTTGACTACATTCTTAGCGAGTATTTTCCTGAACACACAGTACAGACTACCTGCAACACTGGACTCGTGCATTATCTGTAGTGGAGGTATGCTGGTGGCCAGTGCGAGTAGTATCTAAATTTTGGGGCCTTATCGCTCGGTCTGCTACTGCTGTCATGACCCATCGTCTCTCCTAGCATAAGGTTTGTAAATACAGTTATGTATACAAACAGAAATCACAATAGAGTGATATATCAAATGAACAAATCCACTCGAACCCTCATCACGGCCCTTGTGGATTTGTTAACAGTTACGTATGTTTTGCTTTTTTTTTTGGGGGGGGGGGATTGCTATAGATCGAATGGGATAGAATTAGTAGGTAAGTTAATAATGTTTAATTATTATCATCCAAGGATTAAAATTCTGAAAACATTCTAACTATAGGCCAAAACTATAGGCCATTGCTCCTTGTGCCTCTCTGAAGGGGCCAGGTTCTGGCTCGGGGTCCCCGGTAGGAATAGAACTCCATTCATATTGATGCCAAAGTCTAATATATCCATATGAGCCTGTAATAGCTCTGGGGAGGCGAAGGGGCTCCCCCCAGAAATAATAATAAATAATACATGATAAAAACCCACACCTATGCATTTGTGTATTTTATGTAAAAATTTACACCATGTCTTTTGCATTCTCCTGAGTACTTTGGTAAGGTCTGAGTATCTGGTGAGGACGAGACTTACATCTCGATGACTTATCAAATACAGTATTACATTATACTCAGACCTTGATAGAGCACTCAGGAGAGTGCAAAAGACTTGGTGTAAATCTTTACATAAAATACACAAATACATAAATGTGGGCTTTTATCGTATGTTATTATGTCTGTGTGTAATCACAAATTTGCCGTTGCTAAAAGTTTAGTGTTTCCTTTATGGCTGCCCTAAACATTCAGACACTGGATGGTGATGTTGCCAAGTAATGGTCATCATTTTCTTACTAAGGTCCTAGAAGTAAAGTGAGGGACTCTGGATTTTTTTTCAAGATGAGAGGTGGTTACTGGTGGTCTGAGGAAGCAGATGTGAGCTCTATGTATGTACAGGACTATTTTAAATATGCAAATCATATATACTGTATATGATTTGCGCCATTTTGTGAGAGTTACTCCATTATATATGTATGTATTGCGCTGTTTAAGGGTTAAGAACTGAGATATGAGAACAGAGTGAAGGAATGGTGACAAACCACTTGTAACATCGGAGATCGATTGCTGGTGATGCAAAAAGCAAGGCCATCACTATACCCAGCAGCCAAAATAGATGAAATTAGGATGTAGAACAATTGGAATCAAACTCAGATCTTTAATCTACATTAAATTCAGTGATATATACTTTATCTCAAATCCATATTAATACCAAGGCCTATAAAATGAATATAAAACTTTCACTGTTTAAATGCCCAGTAGCTCGATAACTACAGGACTGTTACTAGAGTTATTTGTTTATGAGATTTATATATTTAAAAAAAATTCCATCCCCATTAAATGTTTTCAGAATTTTAATCCTTGGATGATAATAATTAAACATTATTAACTTACCTACTAATTCTATCCCATTCGATCTATAGCAATCCCCCCCCCCCAAAAAAAGCAAAACATACGTAAGTGTCTGCAGCTGTATTATATCACTTAACTCCAGTATCTTTGATCTTACTCCATCTATGTTGGTGTATGCAATCTTGAGGAACTTGTTCCCCCTCTTCTTATTTTTCACTCCCCCTTTCTCTAATGATTTTGTTGGTTTGCTTTTATGTACCACTTTACTGGTCTGCCTACCCCTATCACTTTGTAGAAAAAAGAATTGATTTCTTCTTCATTCCTGCTCTCATTTAAACATTTTGCCTCGGCGAGGTTCAGTTTCAGCTTCTCTCTATCTTCTTTTGAAGATAGAGAGAAGACTTTGGTGTGAGACTGGTGGTGTCCTCTCCTGTCTCATACTATTGTCCTGTGGCTGGGCTGTGGAGAGAGGTACATTGTCTGACACTGGGTGGTGTGTGACTGATGCTGTCCCCTCTAGGTCCATTATGTCTGCTGTCTTGCTGGTAGAGGCATGTGGTGAGGCCTTGATAGCAGTTTTCTTCGGTGCCTGCTGCACCTCGGTCCACTGTCCCTCCTCGTCTGAAAGCTGCCTCCATTGCCTCTTTCTCTTGGCCTTCCCCATGATTCTCCACGTAGTGAGGACCGAGTCACTGCCCTACCTAATGCCTGAGACACTCCTAGGCCTGGAGAAATTCATTCCCCTCCAACGTAGGTCATAGAATGATTCCCCCAGGTGGAATCAGGGATACCTAACACCTAAATGAGAAAGTTTGGTCAACCTTTTTCTGTCAGGCTCAGTACACCTTCTAAGGTGCTCCCTTGTGGCAATGCCCACAGGATATCGCCTCGCCTTTCAGGGTAGGACTCTTAAGTGAACTTGTCAGTGATACGGTCCTCAAAAAAAAAAGTGTGGTACGAGAGTTTGGATCACCTGTGTACTGGGTTGCGCAGAATACCAGTCAGCTGGACAGCAGGTAATGAACAACGTTGTTTCTCCGTCAATTGTAGACGAAATCAGAATTGTTTCCTTCAAAACAAGATATTGTCTGGGTCTTGGAGTACTGATGTATTCTTCCTCACAAAACCGCGATGAATTGAGCTGATGGGTTCTCAAAATCATGAGTTTTTCTGGGAATAAATACGTGTGCGGCCAGCTAGCAATGGCACCGGCAGCGAGCCCTTGTTCCCTCCCTGTCGGCTGCACTGGTGGTTGAGGACTTGCGAGCTCGTGGCCTGCTGGCTACAGTCTTGCATTTCTTTTTCCTCCTGGCGCTGTCTTCTGATTGGCTTGCGGAGAATGTAGAGGTGCTTGGGGCTGTTCCTGGGTCTGGTGCCTTGGTCTCGGGGACTCGTGCGTCATCTGCACTGCTGAGGCTGTTTGCAGTGATCCTGCAGGATGCGGTATTCGAAGTTTTTCGCTGTGTGTTTTGCGTGTCAGCAGGTTGTGCTTGCTTCCTCTTTAGAATCTGCTTGGGCCCTGGCTCTTAGAGTTTCTTTGCCATTTTGTCCTTTGCTGTTTGCAGAATCTGTGGTTGGGCAATTTCTGCAGGTGGCCTCGGTTGTCGTCCGATGTCGGACTTGTTGGGTGGGTGCTCCTGGGGGGGTTCTTCCTGGAATGGTCGTGCCAGGGCTCGGGGTTCAGCTCATTGTGGTAGGCCACAGGTGCCAGTTTCGAAGCCGTCTGCATCTTATCGGCATGGTAATCGCTCTGTGTGCTAGTCGGGTTCTCGTAAGGGGCATCGGTTCTTTCACGGTTCGTTTCATTGACGGGGCAATGGGGAGGGGGGGGGGAGGCTTCCTGTGTTTGCTCACGCATGGTCTCACGATTTGTGGGCTTTTCCGGTCGTTTCCGATGGCCTGCGGTGGCGTTGGGTGGCCCCTCTTTCTTCAAGGGGTTCAGGGCTGATGTGGCAGGCCTCTTCCCCTGCACTCTGTCAGTTCATCTTGGAATGGGTGTGCTTGGGCGTGGTCGAAACAATGACATCTCTCAGGTGGGCTTCCCGCCATTTCCCAGTCCCAAAACTGGACTGTGTGAACCTGCGGTTTTACTTGTCCCATCTGAATCCTTGGATTTCTTGCCCCTCCTTTCGGATGACTACTCTGTCCCAAGTCTGGCTTCTGTTGGAGACAGCCGCTTGGATGGTGTCCCTGGACCTCAAGGATGCGTATTGGCATGTCCCGATTCATTGGTTACCGCTTTCGTTGTCTCCCGTTCGATTTGAACCTGGCTCCTCAGGTGTTCACACACCTTACCCGGGTCATAGTGGCCCGTCTGCATCTTTTATGTGTTAGTGTTGGCCTACCTCAACTACTGGCTGGTATGGGCTCCCAGTCGGTCCGCATGTCTGCTCGCCATGGATTTGGTTCTTTCCCAGCTTACCAGGTTCGTGTTGCTGGTGAACTGGAGGAAGTCCCATCTGGTCCCCTCCCCAGGTTTGGACCTGGCTGGGTCTTGTGTGAGACTCTCGAACCACTTTCTTGTCTCTCCCTCCAGTCTCTCTCCTTTGGATGCGGTCCCACATGTGCTTGTTTCTTGGGGGCTCCTGGGTCACCCGGTAGGTTTGTGCGGGAGCCTGAAGTTTGTGATGATGATCTACCCGCTGAGTCGGGTTTGGCTTCATCGGCTGTTCTGGTTCCTTCTGAGACGTCCCTTCCGCCTCCCTCACGATCGCTGGGTTTGACCCCCAGAGGCCTTGCGTTGGCTGCTGCATCGCCAGCTTCCTCTTGAGGTTTTTTGAGTTTCAGTGCCTTAGTGCCTACCTGAGCCCTCGCTCGATATGTTCACGGACGCGTCGTCTCTTGGCATGGGCTTTGCGATCAGTGCTCACCAGGCCGGCCAGGGTCGGTGGGGTCTGTCTTTTCGTCGGGCCCACAGCACGGTGTGGGAGTTTGCGGTGGTGTGGCATTCGCTTTGCAGGGCTTGGGTCGCCCTCGGATCGACGATCTGGCTCCATTTGCACGTCTCCCTGGTGGTTTATTACCTGAACTTAGGGGGGTTCGATGCAGTCCTTGGCTCTTTGGGGCTGGTCGGTTCGGGTGACTCGTCTGCTGAGTTCTCGAGGTTTGGCTTTCCTGGCCGTTTACGTCCAGGGGGGTGTCCAACGTTGTGGTGGACGGCCTATCCCAGTTCATTTCCCTGTCCACAGAATGGACGGTCAACTCTGGCTCCTTCAGTTGGCTCTGCCAGAATTTAGGCGCCCGGAGGTGGACCTCTTCGCGTTGGCATGGTCAAGGTATCCCAGAAAACCAGCATTGAATGTAATGAAACACTATTTTCTGGGTGAGACTCGGAGGCTCCCTGGGAACCCACCCTTCCCCCGGTCGGCGTTTTTTTCGCGTGTTTTGATATCCAACCTCGATTTGGGGTGTGGATAGCAGGCACTAGGGGTCTTGGGCTCACTCTTCCAACCTCCTGGGGAGGTGGGGGGTGGGGCGGGTAGCTGTGCAGACAAGCGGCATGGCATGTGCAACATCATGCTAATTTGCTCCTTTTCAATTGGGGAGTTATGTCCACTCATTAGTTTTCAGTAGTAGTTTTATCCTGAATAGGGGGGTTTGTTTTGAGGCACTTACCAGTCAATGGCAGACATAGAATCATCCTAATCACATGTGCACTTCTATAGGCTATTGCTCCTCGTGCCTACCTGAGAGGATCAGGTTCTGGCTCATGGTCCCTGGTAGGCCTAGAACTCAATTCACACTGACTGATGCCAGTCTAATAATATACATATCAGCCTGGATAGCTCCGGGGAGCCTCCAAGTCTCAACCAGAAATGGCCAGAAAATGGCGTTTCATTACTTTCAACACTGGTTTTACTCTCGTAACACAATGTGTAATCTATACTGTATAGCTCTTATCCACGTTTGTTACACAGGTATCTTTATATTTATTGCAGATAAAAGTTGTGAACTTAAGAGATGTGGATCCAGCTGACATAAGAGAATGTCGATGTTGTAAGACTCAAAAGAGTTTGCATTATCATCAGGTATATATTTTATTACAAATGCTTAGGCACTTCAGAAGGTTCAGAGCACATTGTATTTTTTATCACTTTATATTCAGTACATAGCACTGTAAATTTATTGCATCTTCATATCATCATGGGGAGAAGTAATTATATATACCGTAAATAGATTGTATTGAACCAAGTTGTTGCAATGAACTTAGAAACCTATTACTCAATAGCTTTTTATACATCTTATGTTTCTTGTGTATCAAATCCCATTGAAACGACTGTTTTCATACGCAAGATACATATATGGTATGGTCTTTGTTTACATGTACAGTACTGTACTAATATTATTTTGCAACTCATGTTCTGAAGTTGTTTATGTATACTATATTTTTAGCATTTTGTGTTATAAGTCGCGGAAACTGGTCCTCGGTATAGAAAAGTTGCCTGTTTCCAAGCAGGTGGTTTAGTTGGTGTATACACATGATACATTTTGCCATTTCATATCATACAGGTGCAAGCATAAACAAGGGCCAGCATTGGAAATGTATATTGCAAACGTTTTCAGATGGGTTTTAGAATTGCTTAATTTTTTTAGATATTCTTGAAACATGATCATTTAAGGATAAATGTAATACCAATTCAAGTTTTGCTTACCTTGAACTAGAATCCTTAAAATCAAAGAGACAATTTGACAATTAGACAATATAGAATAAAATTCCATGTGTAGCTCAGGGCACCTTTACTCTAGTATTTCACTGAGTACCCAACTTTCTGTTAAAAAAGTTGCTGATCTTGATGAAATGATGAGCAAAGGTGTCCTGTGCCGTGCAAGATATTTTTATTCCATTGAGCTTTAATTACTTTTTTCATATTTAAGATGTATTGAAGTTGTCAGCCAAATTAGTCTAAGAAGGCAGTAGAAAATGTGTGGTGATAGTAGTTTATAAATATTTATCATGCATTGTTTTCCTTTGTATTTAATTTGATTAGACCAACAATGTGGGTTCCCTGTATAGTATTTAGCAGCTTGTGGGGATGTTCAGTAATTTATTTCTTCAATTCAAGTAGTTACATAATGTTGGAAGTGGTGTTGGTACAAAATTGTAAGAATAGTCTTATACATTTCCAAAACATTGACTTGTAAATATAGGTTATTATGGTCTAAATTAATTAATATTTCTTTCATGTCATTGTGCATATATTTTAAACTTTCAAATATTGGAACATATATATATATGAATGTTTGTAATCCATAATTAAATTGCTTTATATTCTTTTGGAAACGTTGTCAGGGTTTAAATAGTTTGTAACCATTAATGCTTGAAACATTCAAACTGATGAGAAGGTAATTTCATTTAAATTTTATCTTGCATCATTTGTATACTTAGGAGGTTGGTTAAATAATGAGGATACTGTGTATATATTTTGTTTGTTCAGTATTCTTATGACATAAAATTATCATATATTTATCATAGTACTGTATTTTAGATTATAATATCAATGTTAGGTATAGTATTTGTGTCCATGTTTTAATCCTGCATATTATTTTGCTTGTTATTTATGTGTGTGTTCAGTTGATGTACAGTACAATGAAGATTTAGATGAAAAGAACATAAAGAAATCGGCTGCTGAGAATCTATAATGAAATTTGGTAATTAAGTAATTGCCTGACATATAATGTGAATTGTGTGTGGTTTTGACCATAAATGCAGCATTAAGTATTCATAATGCTTTATTTGGCACACAAATGTTTTAATCAAATGTAATGTGCAGTCGGGGCTCCAAAACCTGGTTTATGTCATATAAAACCCAGTCCTGATTGAGAAATAATCTCGATTGAGAAATAACTGACTATTGTTTTGTTTAAGGTTTACCAAATTTACCACTTCTTTCTTACTCCAAATGATTCATGTCAAACTTTAAGTGAAAACTAACACACTAATTTTGTTTTAACTATGTTTAATGGTTATTTCACAACTCCCACACTATTTCTAAGATTGTGTTTATTTAGGAAAATCATTAACAACTCATTCGGGGTAATATTAATGTAGATGCCATTCATACCCTTCATTTTTCCATACATTATGGGTGAAATTTTTCTTGGTGAAATCTTGATTTCATCCTGTTATTTGATGGATATCTTTAAGAGAATTTGACTGTACAGATATTTCTCCCCTCATTCCCAGTATTTTCTAGGCCTCGGCCCCTGAACTTTATTTTTAAAGGTAGCACTATAATCCCCTTATGGTGTAAATAAACCAAGCCCAAAACTCTTTCTTTGGCTCAAAATTTTCTATGAAATATTGTGAAAACCTGTTCTATTTAATTATGGAGATATGGTTGCAGCCGTTTTCAGGATAACATTCCTGACACATCTGAGCTAAACTTTGATCTACAGTAAATGATAAAAAGCACAATAATAGCACAAATTTGGAAAAATACAATACTTATGTGTGGGGAGCGCTACGGCTCCCTGGAGCTTACCGGGCTATTGTATGTTATATTAGACCGGGACATTACATAAGAGTTCAGACCTACCTGGTACCAGCGCCAGAACCTGGCCCCTTCAGAGAGGTTTCAGGGAGCAATGGCCCTGGAAAACCCCCTTGTGGTTGGGGTTTTCCTTATCTGCCATCGACTGGGGCTAGGCACCCAGAAAGGTAGGCTTAACAAAACAAACCCCACATGGTAAAAAACTAAAACAGAAAACTGAACAGAGAGATAGAAGCTCCCTACAATCCCAAGGAAACAAGCAAACATCACACTTTACTGCCGAGCTGATCGTCCGCACAGCCCTCCCCGCCCCGAGAGGGGGAGTGGGGGGGGGGCCCGGACCACACCGCGCCGGCTGCCTAGCATCAGTTCGTAAGCTAATGTCAACCGGGACAGACACTTCTCTGGCCTCAGTTTCCTAGGTGGTGTTTGCCTTTCGGGCATTCACTGCTGTGTGTTGTGTTGTGCGGTGGCCAGATGTTCCTCATTAGTACCGGGGCTGCATGCGCTTAGGGGCTTCCTTCCATAAGTGCCCTGTGAGTACTGCCCCTGCGTGATAGGGTAATCTTCCCTGGGGCGTTCGGGAACCGTTCCCGTAGAGGTTCTTGCTGCTCAGCATTTGCCTCAACCTTGGGGGCCAGCTGGGGCTTGGGGCCCTTGTTTGACACTGGGTAGGGACTGGTATTGTGCTGGTTAGGGCGTCAAGGTGTTGCGCGACCTGCCATCTATGCGGCGACCGGTTCCTGTTGCTTCTGGGGATGGTGTACTTTTACGGGGTTTTTTCTTTTGTTTTTATTTTCATTTGCCTGGTGGGGGTCTGCCTAGTGTAGCTATAGTTCCACTGGTAGTATTTGGTGGCCCTCTGCTAGGCCCCTGTGATTGTACACATCGCAGGGGTTTTCAGTGTTGTTCTCTACCCCTTGTTAGTTTTGGGTCTTAACCGGTTAGCAACACCTTGCCCCGAGCTTCCCGTAGTTACCCTATGGGCCCTGGAAAACCCTGTTGGGGCTCGGTGGACCATTGAATGTGTCTTCGAGTTCCAACCTGTCTTGTGTGGGGTTCGTTGGTTGCTGTGCTCTTGTCTCCGGGTGACAGTCACCACTTTTACCTCCGTCATGCTGCCTGTTGGGTCACTGACACCTTGACCCGAAGTCTTGCGAGTTGTGTTCTCTGCTTGTTCTCCAGTACTCTCCTGATGTTATTACTATTCAGAGTACAGGCAGCATACGCATTACAAGCTTGGTTTAGGTTGCTGCAATGCGCTACGTTGGTTTTCCACCTGGATGCCCCGGGGCCGCCCCATTTTGGTTAGGTGCTGGTCGCCCTTTTCCCTCTCTGTTCCCGGCTCCTGACTGTCAGCGGGTTTCGGGGTCAGGGCAGGGTTTAGTTGGGGCTGAGACTTGGGGGGCTTCAGGGGCTGCCCCGTTCAGGTTGGGGATGAAGATTTTCGAGCCTGTTCCTCCTGCCAAAGCTTCTGGGTCTTACAACAGCTCTTTCTTGCTGCCTTTCCACCTTGACTCTTTCTTTAAGGGCAGAGGGTGTGGAGGACGGCTCTGCCCCGGAGCCTCTGTTGCGGGTTCCCAGGACTGTGGGGGATGCCTGCTAGCAGTTTTGGGATTGTTTGCCCTTGCCTGGGTTCTCTGCTTGCTTCCCACACTTGCTGGCGTGTTTTTGTATATATTGCGTTGGTCACAGCCTCCTGTTTCTTGTGGCCATTTTCTTCTGCCGGTTTCTCGGCATGGCCACCAGGGCGGCGCTGCAGTTTGTTTACATGGGCCTGGGTGTGCGAGCGAGCGTCTTGGGTGAGTTTTTCACTTCTTTCAGGGGTTATATTCTCCGGTTGCGGTTTCTTTGCTTTTGTGGTGTTTCTGCCCATCTTCTGTTCCTCTGGGAACGCTTGGGTGTTGGTTTTTACACCGGTTTTTCCATTTTCTGTCAGTTTTGGGTCTGGGCCCTAGGGTTTGGGCTCAGTGTCCTTGTCTGTTTATGCTGGCTCCCACACCTTGTCCCTCGGTTTTCAGTCTGTTGGGGCCGTTTCCCTGGGGGTTCTGTCTAGAGGCTGTGCTTTGCCTTTCTGTGGTGTATTTCCGCCAGCAAATGTGGTAGTTTGGGCTCCCCCGAGTTTGATTCCGGGTTCCTTTGGGTTCTTCAGTTTCGTTCCGGAAGTTTCTTCCTCTTGGGCCCACATTTGTGGGTTCAGGGGGCTTTGTTTCCTCGTGTGTCTTCTTCTGCCTTCTGGGGTTTCAGGGCCTTCCTGATCTTTTTGGGTCTTGGCACGTGTTGTGGTTGTGCCGGGGCCTTGGGTTTTCTTGTCGAGGTGGGCTTTTTGATGTAGTTTTGTGCTTTCTTTGTGCCTTCTTCGCCTGGCCTGCATGGTGCTCTCTGCCCACTGATCAGCGGCTTGTATTTTTCTTTTCTTTACTTACTTTTATTTATTTTTGTGTGTACACATATATACATGTACATTTGTACACTTATGCGTGTGTGCATGTGTAATTACCTAAGTGTAATTACCTAAGTGTAGTTACAGGATGAGAGCTACGCTCGTGGTGTCCCGTCTTCCCAGCACTCTTTGTCATATAACTCTTTGAAACTACTGACGGTCTTGGCCTCCACCACCTTCTACCCTAACTTGTTCCAACTGTCTACCACTCTGTTTGTGAAAGTGAATTTTCTTATATTTTTTCGGCATCTGTGTTTAGCTAGTTTATATCTATGACCTCTTGTTCTTAAAGTTCCAGGTCTCAGGAAATCTTCCCTATCGATTTTATCAATTCCTGTTACTATTTTGTATGTAGTGATCATATCACCTCTTTTTCTTCTGTCTTCTAGTTTTGGCATATTTAATGCCTCTAACCTCTCCTCGTAGCTCTTGCCCTTCAGTTCTGGGAGCCACTTAGTAGCATGTCTTTGCACCTTTTCCAGTTTGTTGATGTGCTTCTTAAGGTATGGGCACCACACAACTGCTGCATATTCTAGCTTTGGCCTAACAAAAGTCGTGAACAATTTCTTTAATATATCGCCATCCATGTATTAAAATGCAATTCTGAAGTTAGAAAGCGTGGCATAGGCTCCTCGCACAACGTTCTTTATGTGGTCCTCAGGTGATAGTTTTCTATCTAGAACCACCCCTAGATCTCTTTCTTTATCAGAATTCTTTAAAGATTTCTCACATAATATATAGGTTGCGTGGGGTCTATGTTCTCCTATTCCACATTCCTTAACATGGCATTTATTAACATTAAATTCCATTTGCCAAGTGGTGCTCCATATACTTACTTTGTCCAGCTCATCTTGAAGGGCATGACAATCATCTAATTTTCTTATCCTTCCTATTATCTTAGCATCATCAGCAAACATGTTCATATAATTTTGTATACCAACTGGTAGATCATTTATATAGACAACAAACATCACTGGTGCAAGAACTGAACCCTGTGGTACTCCACTTGTGACATTTCTCCAGTCCGATACATTGCCTCTGATTACTTCCCTCATTTTTCTATCAGTCAGGAAATTTTTCATCCATGTTAGAAGCTTACCTGTCACCCCTCCAATATTTTCCAGTTTCCAGAACAACCTCTTATGTGGAACTCTGTCGAAAGCCTTTTTTTAGGACCAGATAGATGCAGTCGACCCAACCATCTCTTTCCTGTAAAATCTCTGTGGCTCGATCATAGAAACCGAGTAAATTCGATACATAGGATCTTCCAGATCGAAAACCATACTGTCTGTCTGATATTATATCATTTCTCTCCAGGTGTTCTACCCATTTAGTTTTGATTAGTTTTTCCAATACTTTCACTATTACACTCGTCAATGATACAGGTCTATAATTGAGGGGGTCTTCCCTGCTGCCACTTTTGTAGATTGGAACTATGTTAGCCTGTTTCCACACGTCTGTTACGACTCCTGTACACAGGGATGCCTGAAAGATCAGGTGAAGTGGAATGCTGAGCTCAGATGCACATTCTCTCAGAACCCATGATGAAACTCCATCTGGGCCAACTGCT